CCTCCCCTCCCCTCCCCTCCCCTCTCCTTGTTGCGTGCGCTGCTGTATACTCTATTACTTCCTGTTGCTAGACTTGCATTCCCGTCAGCATGTTTCGGCCAGGAAGAAGAGCGGGATCGGGACATCGACATCGAGTCAGAGTCAGAGGAGTCAGAGGAGACGACGTCAAAGCAGAGCGAGAAAAGTTGCAGGGGCTCCCTTTAGCACCCTCTGCTGTTTGCCATTCCCGGCCTTCCTGACTCTTTCCTGACTCAGTGGCTCTTCCGAAATACCGATCCTCTGCGAGGAAGAAATCGATGTTGACGGACCCGTAGACGTCGACAAGGATGACGAGGAGGCTTCGCAGATCTCTTATCTGTTTGTTGTGGGGACTGGTGTAGCAGAAGATCGCTTGTCGCCTTCCGGCACAGCATGGAGCCGACTTTTTTGTATGAAGCCAGTCTTGCGCAAGCACGGCCGAACCTGCCAGGACTCGGAAGAGGACCTCGAGATGGATAGGGCTCATGACCAGGATCAGGAGAGACGAAGGCCACTAGCCTAGAAATTTGGTTGCGTGACAGCAACTGCCCAAACTCTTGGCTAGCGGCTTCCGTGACGACTGAATGAGCGCTGCTGAATGTTCTCCTTCGCAGTTCAGGCCTCTTGTATCTTGCCAGGCATCAGCCAGGCGTTGCGGAGCTTGCCAGGCGGCCGGCTGTCCTGGTCTTGTGGTGAGTCCGTGCCACTGGATCTGAGAGTATTTGCCAGCCCGAGCCGCCCTCGATGTTCGGACATTCTGGCTTCATTCGAAGAATACGTTGTGTGTAGTACAGTACTAGGCACATCGAGCATGGTCGTGATGCCATGCCCGCCCATGCAATTCAGCGCCGACCAGCTAGGCCGTGAGAAGATGCCCAGCGCATGCCCTGTGTTTGTGAGCCCCGGCTGACCCCTTTGAAGATCTTTGAAAGCCATGGGTGTCGGGAAAGCTCCGCAAGAACTGGAGCTGACGAGCATATACGGCCGCACACTGCAGGAGTGTTTGTGTCCGCGCTAGAATTTCTAAAAGCATCTACAGCCGCAGCTGTGCAGGAGCTGCCCCCGCAGGCGGAACGTGGCATCAACCGGTTCTACGAGGCTCTGAGATGCGAGTTTCAGGATAGTTCAGGCTTGAGAATAGCTGCCCCGGTCGGTTGCAGACTAGTTGCAGAGCGTAGGCCTTAAGAGATGTTGTGCATTTTGCCTGCTGCTTTAACGTGACCCGCTTAAGCTGGGAGCAGTCTGCTCGCAGGCCCAGTGTACGAAGTACCTGCGCGAGCGGGAACGGTTGCAGCGTGTTGGCTGCCTGAAAAAGCCATCGGCACGCTGGAACAAGCAGGACCCGCGGGTTATAGGTTGGGGTGTGAGGCGGTCTAAGTCGAAGGGCTTCGTGGTCGGATCGAGAGAGGTGTAGACGCAGTAGCGAGTTGGGAATTGTCATCTGTGCTTGCCGCGACCTAGCTAGGTGCTATGATCTGCTATACGAAGTGCCGTCTCATCCCCCACTAAGCCACGTGCAAAGAAAGAGAGCCGGCGCAGTCGCCGCACGCCTCTCGCGACCTTGCACAAGTGCTTGCATTGCAAGAAGCAACGAAAAGGAGTGAGCGGGAGGGAGTGCTTGTAGCTGATAGATGCCTGGAGCTTCCAATCACTAGATTTTGTCTTGTTGAGACTTGTCCGCCTAAGTCTGCTACAACCAGTACCAGGGGCATGGGCCATTAGCAGGAAGTAACAGAAGGAGGGAGAGTGGCTCCACATCACTGCATCGGTTGGCTGGTGCCGGTGAGCCGCGAGCTACGATGCGAACATTCAAGGCACATGGGAATGCTGTCGGTTTTGCAGTGTTTTTCTTTGTGGCGAGGAGTTGTACTTGAACTCGGAGCGTCTAGCCACGGCGAAAGATGCCAGCAGCCCGCCTTCCTTATGAGAGTGCTGATGCAGACCTTGTCCTCAAAGTGAGACCGATCCAATCCGAGCCAGCGGTGTGTGTTGTGGGCTTCAGCTTCGAGTGGAAATGGCCCATCCAACTGCCCACCAGTTCATTGACATCAGTACTGTGACCACGTGTAATGACTTACGGCCAGGCGATGGTATTGTCACCGTCCGTCCCTTATGCCCCTACGAACATGATCGTGTATGTGGCCGTCGTTGTGAAACTGCACATAGCAACAATCCTTTAGGCTCTTTGCTGCAAGTGCAGCCGAAGCTGTCTAAAGTTCGATGCACGACGATCCGACACCGTTCATCCAAACTGATTGCCTGACGTATGCAACCCATCAGAAACACCTGATGTGTGTGTATATGAAACTACATAATGTAAAAATACTAGTCGTATAGACACAGATAAGCACGTATGTATATGCATGTATGTATGTATGTATGTATGTATGCATGCATGCATGCATGCATGCATATATATATATATGTAGAATATATGTATATATATATATATACATGGATGCAGAGACCTTCTTACTGTCATAAAGGTTTCCGAGCCTAGCTCTGCCTCCTTACGGTCGGCAGAATGCTGCAACATGATCCTACGTTTCCAGAGGCTATGTAGCAACGCCAGAAAGATAGATGGCAAGACACCAGCCACCAGCTAGCTTGTGGTGCCGGAACAGGGTCCAGACAGCTATCTCCCCCTGGCATTTTGGACATGCAGTCGGCCCACGCATGTCCCAGGTCGACAGCATCTGCTGCGGCACCCGCAGCTAGTTTCAGGCCACCAGCGCCTGCAGCAGGAGGAGCTGTCGCAGACTTAGCAGTGGGAGGCGTCGAGCCTGGTCAGTGCGCGAAGCTGTGGAAGCATGGACCAAACCTGGACCTGTGGAAGCCTCCTGACACCACGTTTCGAAATTCCTCATCCGAGGCTGGAGCTCCTGGCAATGCAGTGCCTCGGCGGTTTGAATGGAACACAGAGTCTAAGGCAAAGTCAGGGCCACTTTGTTCTGGGATCTCAGGCCCTCTAAGAACGCATGCAGTGAAGTAGACATTGCGTGTTGCTGAGTCAAGGCATTTCCTCTGGATCGACCTTGCAGACCTGGATGAAGATCCTGCAGCACGCTGTAGCGAGGATCGGTTCACAGGCGCTGCAGACATGAGGGCCCGCTGACGGATTTGAGCGTGTCGAGCACAGTGCATGTCACGTCATGTTACTTGTAAAAGGCGCGACAAGGCTTTCTACTCCGGCAGGTCCAGAAAACTCTGTCTGCGAGCAGCTGCTGCTCGATGCCCCGCGAGAGCTTTTTGTCATTGTTGCCTGGCTGCTCAGCTCCTGCTTTGTCTGAGCAGAGCTAGCTAAGAGCAGCTCAGGACGGGGTGGAGTATGACTTTGCCTCCACCGTGCGGGGCCAGTCGGATGTCAACGGCCACTGATCTGCATGCGTCCGCTGCCAAACTCTGTGCCACCTTACCCCTTGACTTGAAGCGAATCGTAGTGCAGCGAATACGAAGCATTCAGTATTCGTAGCAAAACCGTTGGCCACGCTCTGATCTGTGGAAGCACACGAAGCCCGGCTCCTGGGCATCCCCATCTGTAGCTGTGCTCAGATTTGTGTTGGAGTGCCAGGGTACGTACACGACAGTTTTCACCCACCAGCTCAGCGCGACCCCTTGTGATCAGGAAACGATTTGGAGCTCATGAAGTCGGACTTCTGTGAGACTTAGCCGCACAAGCAACCCGGACGAGTGGCGGGTATGGTTCTTATGGGCCAGACATGGCGAGAAAGCACTTGAGCTCAATCCATTCGATGCGTTTGGGCTGGATTTCTTCGACCAGGTTATCAACGAGAAAGTCCGGAGTTGGCGTGTTCAATCGGCGTCCATGTGTTCATAGTGTGCTGTCCTGTGCTGGACTTCATTGCAGTGGGCGTCCCACTTACATCTGCGTGATGGGATGCAATACAAGCAGTGTAGCACGGGCTATGTGAAACCGAGCGGGAAATGTATTGCACTGCAAGCTGATGCCCGGGGTTGCTAGCCGCCAGGTTGGTTGAGAATAGTGGATGGTTTGGCGTTAAGCGGTGGTCGGAACATCCTCCGGCTCCTCCCGAACTCTTGCTGCAGAGGCCCTGCATCATCCTAAATGCTGAAGTTCCGAGTTGCGAGAGTCCGAATCCTGCAGCGCTTAGGATCGAGTCGTCTCAGCCATTTCGCGCTGCTTGGGCGCGCAACGGAAGCAGCTAATGCGAGCGGTGCCGGGGCTTCAAGCAGCCATAAACGGTCACTGCTCTGCCCTGTCTTCAGAAAGCCTTTATAGAGTTTATTGAGTTGCACTTGGACTTTAAGCCTTGCAGGTGACTTCCGCACTTTCACAGTCGGGGCTGGCCCATTTGGAGGCCAGAGCAGGGAAAGGCCAAGAGTTGAGGTCACAGGGCCTTCCGGAAAGCTCAAAATAGCCTTGATTAGAGGTGCTTGGTCAGTTGTACCCCTGCCAAAGAGGCTGCCTCGGCCGCGCTTCAAGTGGCCGCAGCTCCGCCGCAACTGATTTGAGCTGTTGATTAGAGTCTGTCCGTGCGCTCAGTGGCAGTCCTATGGCCTGTGGCATACAAAGACAGACACAGGAAACTGCGGAAACCTCCGCCAACTACCCAATGCAACGAACCTGCCGAGTGAGCCTTGCAGAAGAATACAGTGTCGTCACACCCAACATGCTTCTCCTGCTCCCTGGCCATACATCTGTAAGTCTATGACAGAAAGCCAAGGTAAGCGGTGGAGAGCAGGATGTACGGCACCTGTGCTGCATTGACTTCCTGCACACGCACTCCCGGAGGCTTGTTGCATGTGCGTTCTTAGCCCCTGCCCATACAAGGTTCGAGCTCCGTGCCTTGTCAGCGAAAAGTTTCAGTCTGTTTAAGTTTGTTTAGGAGCCGGCTGTTGCGGGTTGTCAGGAAGACATGAGGAAGCCGTGGCCACACACACAGGTGCATCAGGTGGAGAGAAAGTTTCCGGAAGACTCTGAAAATCCCACAAAGCCTAGCCTCGGCTTCCAGTACCTTCGAGGCAGCCTCTCCGCGGATGGGCCCTGGGAGGTGGAACTTTACGTCAGGAAGGCCTGCACTCGAAGCGGGGTATAAGGCGAAGTAGCAGCCAGTATCAGTGGCCTCTAGGCTTCCTCTAGCTGAGCAATGCTCATTTGTAAGCGAGCGTGGTTGAGGTGTCAGGGGAGGCTTGTGAGGTTGTTCATCAATTTTTTCAGCCACCAGTCCAACACTCACTCGCCTGAAAGTCCTGCGGTTGGGAAGTTTGTTTTTTTCAGGCTTTGGGTGGGCTGGACGGACTTGGCTGCGCACCCTTCAGCAAAAGTGTGTGCGTGTGTGCCTGCCGAATGCAACGCAAAGAGTTCCACTGCGTTTGGAGGGTAGGTGGGCGAGCCTTCTGTGACTGCATAGCTGTAGAGATGTCTGCATCTTCAACACCTACTGATAGATTGAGGTTTTTGGGAAGAATTAATCCATCAACCTTGGGCAAGTGGCATTCCCTGTTTAACTAGGTGACTCTCTACAATGCGTTTTCCAGGGCTCATTCAGAAGTTGGCATTTTCTGGGTCCTCTGCAAGGCGTCTGTTTTGTTTTCTTTTTTTTGGGGGGTTTTCCTGTCTGCAATAAATGGCAATCATGGCTGAGTTCAGGATAATTAACAAGATGCAGGAGAAAGCTGATTGCAGCAGGCCTCAGGCTTGTTCGAGGTTGCTTTGGGGGGTGTAGGATGATGAAACCCTGCTGTTGCTGTAGCACTCCACATCCCCACACCCCGCAAGGCCGGGAGTTCTCGATTCAGGGCGCCGGGTCATGTTTGGCACCAGTCTGCGGATGAAGCTCTTTGGAAGGCAAACTTCCACCAGTGCATCGTTTACGAATCCCCGTCCGGCTCTATGCCCGAAGCAGCCGAATCTGCGGACCCGCATGCTCTAGGTTGCTTCCACATTGCTCGAACGCTGATTGGATCAAGTCCTTTGGGTCCTGTTCTGTTGCCGAGACTTTTTTCAGGGTGGTGGAATTCTGTGTCTCGGGTGTAGCAACGCAGTGCCGCGCGCAGGAGTCCAGTCCTCGTACTTGCAGCCCATCCTCCTTCTTCACCAAATCTTGCCGTGCCTGTGCTGGTCGGAATGTTTGGTTTTATAGAGACATTGCGACAGACCTTGGCAGCGGACCTTCAATCTGGAACCTGAGCGATGTGAGGAGGAACGTTCGTGCATGAGGGTTGCCTGACACCTGGACGATCGCTAGCAATGTGTGCTACGAACTTCAAGCCTGCTTTTCGGTATGTCATTGCGGACGCATGTGCTCCAAGGTATCCGCTTCTCTGACACTTGTTTGCAATTGTACGACGGGCATGTTTCAGACCGTCAAGACCATTCCCGAGTTCGAGTCTGCTACGGAGCTGAGGAAACGGGCGCCGACACGGTGATGCTTGAGACGTGGCAAGTTCAGACTTTCTCTCCTTGTGCTGGAGCGGATAGGTCGGTAAAGTTGTAAGAGGACTACCTTCCCCCTGGAATCCCAACCAAGCCCTGTGTTCGCCAGTCCCCAGCATCAAAGCCGAAGCCCAAAGATGTCCTCATCTGGTTCTATGATGTTCTATGGCAGAGTCCGAGTGTGAGAGGGTAGAATTGCAAACAAGACCTGGGCTTCGAGGTGTCTAGGTCAGCTGCCTAGTACAATTTGCCGAGCGAATGTTTGTATTCACTTAGTTCTCTTATACTGTCTTAGTTGGTGTGGTTGTGGCACGCCTGGGCTGTTCTAGGCTTCTAGACGACTGACATTCAATTAGTCGTGAGGGGAAGCTGTAGTTTTCTGATCATAAGAGACGATAGGAGATTGAAGCGGCTTGAATTTGTCTTGAACTTGGTGCTAGTCTTCCGCTGGCGTGCTGCTGCAACAGCATCATGCACCTTCACTCCCAACATGAGAGTCGAAGAGAATGGAGTCACCTTCCTGACCGGTTGGCGCTTCCAAGAGTTTCTTATGCCCTGTCCGTTAATGTCACATAGTGCGAAGTCACATCTTCGCCAGACCTCTGTTTGCTCAGATTCTCACCTGGTCCAGAGGGTGACAGTTGTCAGAGCGTGCATCCACAAAACCCACATGCCAAAAGCGTCGACGTAAGACCCCTAGAACCTAGTCCCAGTTGCATCTGAGGATGTTCTCAGCTTGCATCACGAGCATCATCTGATCGATGCATCCGGGCAGCCTTTGCTCAGCTCTGGATTCCCTGACTCTCGGAAGAATCCCAGAGAATGCTTCTTGTGGTTCTCATGCTCCTGAAGATACAATGCACATGACGATGCAGCATCCGGAACGCCATCTAGTAGACTTAGTTATTGCCACATTCCGAGGGCTGTCCTTGCCGGTGCCTTCCTCTGCTGGTTCTACGCCGCTTCATCGCCCGGGCCTGTGCCTGGTGGCGGCAGCGCTTGCACCGCCTGTGCGGCATCAAAGACAGCGTGGACTGATGAACACGCCCCAGGGAAGGGCTGGGGGAGTTCCAAAAGCAACCCTCTCCCGCGTCCTGTTTTTGCAGGTTTGGAGTGCAAAGGCCCCTAACCTAGCACCTAGCCATTGGCAGTGGCTGGCGCCAAACGGGCGCCTCGCCATCTCGTCCTGCCATATTCCTAGGTATTCCGGCCTCCCGAGGCCTTCGGGCCTGGGAGTTTCCTGCTTCCGCCCCAAAGAAAAAAGCCTTGGCCCGCTGCGCAAGGATTCAGCTGGGGTTCGAGGAAGCAGACGTGAAAGTTACCCTGTGGGTGGCCTGCAGGCTCGCAGGAGTCGGGAAGCCGACGTCTCCTCCAAGGGTCGTGGCCCAAGCAGAGTCGAAAAGCCAGGCAAGGGAGCCCCAGGTCGAAAGCTGGTTTCGGCATACCACCGCACAAAAAAGTCACGAATCATGAAACGAGACTGCCTTTAGGGGTTCGATTCTTCATCGGCAGGTGGGAGGAGTTTCTCCAGCGTGCATGTCCGGTGCGTATACGTGACTGCTTCTGAAATGCTCGCCGAGTGTCCCAAGTGCAGACATGTGCAGACCAACTGTGGGCTGTACTAGAGATATGTGCGTTTTGGTTAAACAGACAGCCACCTTTGGCAGACGTTGCGTCTTCGAGCGAGAATTTCTTCGCATGCCAGGCGCGAGAAAGCCCGGCAGCCCCGGCTAGGCAGGGGCTGCACTGCTGATAGAGTGGAAGGATGCAGCCGAATCCAATCCTTTCACCAAATGCAATCCAGCCTCGTGTCGGAAAAGAAGGAGGGATCTTGACTCTTGACCATTATCACCCGAGTCGACAGGTATGCAGCCGTGGAGAGTTACAGTGAGGAGGACGGATTTCTTTAGCTGCGCACTGGCGCGAATCGGGTGCCCGCGGGATAGTGGTTCAGGCCTCAGCCTGGAGCATGACCTTGGCATAAGGACGACGTCGAAGCCGAAGCTGCGGAAGGCGATGCTGATGGCAGGGATGATGAAGATGAAGAACAGGAGGAAGACGATGATGACGAGGACACACAGAGTTTCCAAGGATTGATAGTCACGTGTGTTACGGCTGCCGGCCGGAGTCCGAGAGGAATCGTCCAGTTCCCCTGAAAAACTACCTTCTCCGCGCTCCAGACGAAAGGACAAAAAGGAGGACCGTTTTGTAGACTTGCGGAATCTCGCTGGAATCCTGAAAGGCAGTACTCCAGATCTCAAACGCCAATGTCAGCCGATCTATGGAAACTTCCTGCATCTTCCTGCAAGCAGGAGGAAGAGCATCGCCGTCGACAGGACGCAGCTGCCGCAGCTGTGCTCTTGCTGCACAGCAGAGCTTCGTACTTCGGCGCTGTAGTACCCTCTAATGGGATTCTAGCGTTCAGTGTAAAGAGAACTGCTTAGTGTGGGCACGAGGTCCTCGCACAAAGCGTTGCATGGGACGCGGCTCCGGCTGTGGTGCAGTGCAGTTTTTATGCTCGCGTCTTATTAAATTATTTACACAGGATCCACTGGGTACCGTGTCCTGGAGAGCCAGATTCATTTTAAATTTGAAAACGTGGGCCAGCTTTTGTATTGAAAACTCCGAATCCCGCCAGGGGGAGTGCATGTGGGCCGCCCTCCTGAATCCGGGTACAGCTAAGCACAGGTACCGTTAAACGGGGAAAGCATGGTGGGCTTGGGGGAAGCAGCTTGGCCAGACTGGCTTCCTCATGGTCTCCTGGTCTTCTCCCGGTGTTTTCCTGGTGGTCTGTTTGTGGTCTCTTGGTATCGCTGGGTGGTTTTCCTGAGCTGGATGGTCCTGGATCGCAGCGGTCGTCGTGGTGCTCCTGGCGTCGTGGTAGTCTTGGTCGTCAAGGTCGTTGTGGTGCCCTATCACTGTGGGGACATCTGCACTTGTCTAGTGTGAGATTTTATTGCTTGTTTTTTCGGGGTCTGGTTTGCTTCAGTGTTCATGAGCACGCACTGCCTGCACATGTGCTTGCATGAAGTGCAGGCCGCCAAAGCAGCAGAATCCAAGAAGGCTCAGAAGGCCTTTGGGTAAATTCCCTTGCTTGCTTGGGCTTCACGGACCGGAGCCGGACCTCATATCTGTTTTGACTTGTGGTCCCTTTTGCAATTCTTGTAGTTTCCTTCGGCAGCCCCGGGCTGGCAGCTCAAGCGACTGGCCGCACGTGCTTTTCGTGGGTGAAAAGATATCGCGCCATGGGAGGTGCCAGTTTGCGGACCCTTTGCTTGGTATGTGCTATCGCCCTGCTTTCCAAACTCTTGGAGACAAGCTCAATCGGGTTCAGCATTGCTGTGCAACAGGACGCGGCAAATAAGTGCTGCCAGCCCAGGACGTCCACGCATGGGCAGCAGGTTTTATACATCAGCAGCAGGACAATCATCGACGGACTATGGCTTGACGAAGGGAGAGTCCAAGCTCTTGGCCAAGGTGGTACAGGCAGCAAATCGCAGTGATTGGCAAAGGATCCGGCAACTTCGCGCAACTAGCAAGGTCCAGAAGACACCATTTTTCGACGTGGAGATGAATGCAGCCCTGGCTTGTGGGCAGTACAAAGCTGGCACCGCATTGTATGAGCAGCTCTGCAAGCTTAAGCTGCCAAAAGAAGTTCTCACATTCAACCTGGCCACGAAGCTCTACGGAAAGGCTGGTATGTGGGCATCTGTGCGGCAAGTCTGGAAGGAAGCCAGGAAGTCGTATCGCACGGATGAGACGATGGCCGCTGCTCGTCTCGTCGCAGCAGCGGATGAGGGGGACATCCGGACGGCAGCCGACATCTTGGACGAAATGGTTAGGATGGATCTCGTGGTGGATGTCGGCCACTTTACATCTGCACTTCGTGCCTGCGCGACTGCGGAGAACAGTGGCCACCATGCTGCAGTTTACCTTTTCGACACCTTGCTCAACATGTCATTAAGCCCCGATGCGCGGGTTTTCACAGCGCTCGTGTCTACTTTTACCGGGCGACCGGTGAGCAAGTTCCAGAAACTACGCAGTCAAATGGATCAGCTTGGTGTGAAGCGCGACTGGGTTTTCTCTGATGCTTACTTGAAGGCATTGCTCGTGGTGCCACAGAAGGACAAGCAATCCTCTGTCGTGGAACTTGTGGACTTGATGCGTGGGTTATCCAAAAAGCGCTTGCGGGAAGCAGCAAGCGCACTATCCAGTTTCAAGACGTCAAAGGATGAGTGGTCTGCTTTTTGCGAAGTTACGGAATCGGCCTTAAAACGTCAAGGCATTCGCCTCTGATTGTCTCCTATGGTTCAGTGTTCACAGCCCCCTGCGCTCCCAAATTGTTTGATTCGAAGCAGCCAAATCGATTTGGAAAATCGATTTGGAGCCTGTCGCTGATGTTTCTGGAACAGGAAGAGAGGTACTTCTGCTTCAGGGCCCTTCCATTCGGAAGTCCATCTGTCATTTTTGAACACAAGCAGAGAGAAACCACGACCGTTCTTGGAAGCCACGCGCACCTTGTCTCGACAGAAGCAGGCCCACCAGGCTCATTCTTCAACAAGAGCTTGTCTTGTCTTCAATGCCGGCGATTGTCAGGAGAAGTCGTCAAAGACAGCCACGGCAAAGCCTCTCGGCCTGCACCTTGCAATGCGGGAGGCGCAAGATCCACGGTGTCAGGCCTTGCCATCGCTTTGCAGTCGCCGTAGCAGTCGTAGCAAAAGCACAGATGAGCCAAGGCAGCCGAGGTCGGAGCAGAGCGATTCGCATCGAAAGGTCGAGGCCAGCGCCCCATGAGAGAGCAAAAGGCTTGCCAAAGAGCTGCTGCAGGGTGTTCAGGGTAGGATATGGCCTTGTTGGTTTCGGCTTCAGGAGAAGTCCCGAAATCGCGAAGTCCGTGAAAAGCCCAGGCGAAGCGAGGCCTCCCAGGCAGAGGAGAGGATGAAGGAGAAGCAGAGGGAGGCCCGAGAGCAGGAGATGCAGGAGAAGGAGCACGAGCAGGCTAAAACCAGAAAGAAAAAGAAGGGCAGAGAACCGGAGCCCAAGAATGAGGGCTCCCGGAGAGATGCTTCAGCGGCAATGCAGCGATCGCGCGAGAAGGCGCCTTCCACCGCAACGGATGAAGCTCAGAGGGAGGGCAGGCGAAAAGAGAAGGCTAGCAGAGACGATAAGACTCGACGAAAGGAGGAGAAGGAGGCAGCAGATCGCGAAGCGAGCAGAAGGCAAGAGGAGGCAAGGGCTGCGAAGCAGAAGGAGAAAGAGCGTGACGAGGTGAAGAAGCGCGAGGAGGAGGAACGTCGAGAAAGAGCCCGCAAGGAGGAGGAGCAGCGCCGAAGAGAACAGGAAAAAGAGGAGGAAAGAAGGCGAGAAAAGGAACGTGAAGAAGAGAGGAGACGTGAGAAGGAACGTGAGGAAGAGAAGCAGCGTGAGAAGCAGCGACTAGAGGAAGAACTGAGGCGGGAGCGCGAGCGGCGGGAGCGCGAGCGGCGCGAGCGTGAGGAAGAGAAAAGACGAGAAAAGGAACGTGCCGAGCGGGAAGAACGAGAGGAGAGGGAGAGAAGGCGAGAACAGGAAAGAGAGGAGGAGAGGAGACGAGAAAAGGAAAGGCAGGAGCGAGAGGAAAAGCGCCGCGAGGAGGAGCGGCGAGAGAAGGAGCGCGAACAGAAGAGACGAGAAAAGGAAAGGGAGGAGGAGAGGAGACGTGAGAAGGACCGAGAGGAGGAGAGAAGACGCGAAAAGGATCGCGAGGAGGAGCGAAGACGGGAGAAGGACCGCGACGACGACAGGCATCGAGACAGAGATCGCGAGGATGAACGGAGACGTGAGTCAGGTCGTGATGACAGACGCCGAGACAAGGACAGGGAGGATGATCGCCGACGAGACAAGGACCGAGAGAACGAGCATCGACGGGACAGAGATCGTCATGAAGAAAGAGACAGGCATGAAAAGGATCGCGACAAAGATCGCGACAAGGACAAGTACCGCGAAAAGGACAGAGGCCGCGAAAGAGAGCGATCACGCGACCGTGACGACAGAGAGCGAGAACGGGACCGTGACCGCGAAAAGGACACTGGTCGTGACAGGGATCGCTCCAAGCCAAGGGAAAAAGAACGCTCGAAGCAGCGAGAACGATCGAGGCCAAGAGACAGGGAAAGAGATAGGGATGATCGCGACAGAAATCGACATGCCTGGGACTGAGTCGTGCTGGGCTTCCTCCGAAACTGAACTTATTGTCCTGTGCTTTTCTCAGGACAATGAAAGAGACACGCGAAACAAAGACCGAGCAAAAGAAAGAGAAAGAGAACGTGAAAGAGACAAAGATCGGGCCAGGGAAAGGGAGAGAGAAAGAGACCGCGACAGGGCCATGTCCTCAGTGACGGGTGATTGGCAATCGGGTTCTGAGTTGCTCTGGTGGGTACTGCATTCGGCAGACTGTGGTCAGCTCGGCTGCCCAGGATGCGGATGATCGCAGAAAAAAAGACGGCCAGCGCCACGAGAATGGCAGCAAAAAGGCCAACTCGTTGTGTTCACGATGCATGCGCAATGGGGCAAGCCCTGGTACTGCCTGGCATTCCGAAGCGTTTTGTTTGTAGCAAACTGTCTCGGGCAGATGTTGGCCAGATGACGTGGAGGTAGAAAACGCTATCAAGAAGCATTGGTTTGCAACACAAAGAACTGTTGGGGCTTACGGTCTCTTGAGACATCTCGTCAAATTTGTGAGCGTTCACAGAATTGTAGGATAGAGGTTCGGTTGTCTTCCTCGAGGCAGCATGCCGCCCACAAGCGGTAAGGACACTCTAGGAACAATGGTGAGGGTGTACCGGAACAGCTATCAACTTCAACTTCCAGTTCCTTTGGGACCTAGCTTCGACGGCAAGGCGCGCTCTGTGACCCCTCTTCCTGGGCGGTGGCGGGCTCACGAGATGCGGAAGCGGCCCTTCAGTGACTTAGTCTCTGTCCCTGCAGTGTCCAGCAGGGCAGATGCAAATGCCAACTGCTCGTTTCCAGACCCAAGTGACGCCTTCAACGCCTAGAGTCTAGAATCGGCCTGTGAGGACTCAACCGCCCCCAGCTTCGGATGCTGACGGCATTGGCCCCAATTATCGTGAAAAAGCAGCCATCCTTCTGTCGTCATGCTTGGCTGCTGTAGCAACGTGAACTTCAACAGTGGTGGCCTGCAGGTTCCCAGGACTCACTTGCAGTTTCTCAGGTGCGGCCTTTCCTCCACCGCTGCCCACTTCAGACCGCAAAGGTGCGGTCGGGTTGACGGATGTTGACGGTGTGGATGAGGTGGCTACACGAGTTGGTCAGGCGCTAAAGGAAAGGAGCGACCGTATTTGTTTTGCTTCACACGATGATACTCCATCCTGGGACCAGGGGGGCAGTACGACCCCGAGCGGCTTCCGAGCTCCTCGCCGGCTGCTGCCCCAGCGCCACTAATCCTTGCGAAAGCGTAGCGGCGCGTAGACGAAGCAGGTCGTCAGGTGACTCTTGCAGCCCCATATAACACACACATACATACATACATACATACATACATACGTACATACATACACATGCATATACACATACACATACACATACACATACACATGCACATGCACATACACATACACATACATACAGACAGACATAGACATAGACATACATCTACATATACATACACATATACATATACATATACATATACGTATACGTATACGTATACATACATACATACATACATACATGTATATAGATATAT